CAAATTTATCGTTGAGGTGGGAATTATCGTTGAGGTGAGGCAGACCAACACGCCGAAGTGCGTGGTGGGTCTGCTGACCTAAGAGACGGCTACAGATTTCCATGACCGACTTCACTGGAACTCCCACCCCGCTATTTTTCGCAACTGTGAGATAATATCCGTCACCATGGGCCAGATCGAAGAACTCCCTGACGACTTCGACGAGTCGCTCAACTTGAACAAGCAGACTCCCGAGACGAAAGATGCCCCGCCGGCCAAGGAGGTAGAGACCTCATTTCCAGTGAATAAAGAGCGAGTGAAGGAATTCGAGAAGGAAAATCCCGACGCGCCGAAGATGCCACCTCAGATGGAGGCTGTGCGGTCGCATACGACGGACGAGCTCTTGGACATGTTGAATAAGACGCCGTTGTTTATGACGGATATTGATAAGGCGGGGGATGAGAGTATGTTTCTCTTTCCAATCTTTGTTATCTCTATGTGCTTGATGGATGTTCGGGAGGGGGGGTGGGAGTAAATTGCTACTGAGGTGGGCTTGAGCTTACGTTTTGGCTACGTATAGATGGCGAGAATATCTTTCTAGATGCCCTTCATGCGATGCAGAATGAGGGTACGCGCGCAGAAGTCGCGCAGAACTTCCGCGAACAGGGTAACGAAGCTGCGAAGGAGCTGCGATGGATCGATGCCAAGGAGTTTTATACTAAGGCTATTACTGTTATCTTCGCGAAAGAGGATAAGTGGGAGAAGCCGGAGGATCTGGATGCGGAGCAGAAGTTGCTCCGCCAGGTCGAGGAGGCTTCTCATATTAATCGCGCGTTGTGTAATTTGGAATTGGGTAGGTTTTTTTCTACTGTTGTCATGGGTTGTGTGAGGTGCTAATTTTCTAGGCAATTACCGGCAATGTACGCTTGACTGTGCCTCGACTCTCAAGTTGAATCCGAAGAATATCAAGGCATTTTATCGTTCCGCTATGGCTTGTCTCAAGCTCGATAAGCTCGCTGAGGCTGAGGATGCGGCGAAGCGGGGCTTGGCTATCGACCCGAATAATAAGTCTCTTCAGACGGCGGCGGAAAAGGCCGCCGAGCGCAAGGCTGCCCTTGAGCGCAACTCTGCTAAGCGCAAGGCGGAGGAAGAGAGAAAGAGCAAGGAGAAGAAGTTGCTTGATACTGCACTGAAGGCTAGAGAGATCAGGACCCGCAAGACGGACCATCCGGCAGACCTGGAAGATGCAGTGATTCGTCTTGTTCCCGATTCTCTCTCTCCCGAGAGCACCCTCGAATTCCCTGCTGTGTTCCTCTATCCCATGGATGCCCAGTCAGACTTTATCAAGGCGTTTTCTGAGATGAACAGCATTGAGGACCATCTCGAATACATATTCCCCTTGCCTTGGGATACAAAGAACGAATATACCATTAAGGGCGTGGACTGTTTCATGGAGACTGCGACTGGAGGATTGATCAAGGCCGGAAAGAAACTGCCACTTCTGCAGATTCTTAGCGGCAGCAAGGTTGAAGTTGTGGATCAATTGGTGAAGTTTTTCATTGTGCCGACCGCGAAGAGTGGCCAATTCATTGCGGAAATGAAGAAGAGGAAGCAGGGTTGAGAATGCTCGTCCCGTTCTTCCAGGAAGCCATAGGGCAACTCCTCCTCAAGACTTGAGGCTTCAGCGAGAAGGCTCTTAGGCTATGAGTGCAGATGGCAGACCAACATCTACTCTGTGGAGTTCTTCCGCCAACGACCGTCAGTGGTTCACCACATGGACACGAGTATATTTGCCCATGCAGTTCTTAGGCATGAATATGGACGTCCACTATTCCAGCTCGGTCCCACCTGTTCATAGGAGCCATGCATTGCGTCTGACCGTGCCCCAAACATGCGTCGGGAACATAGACCGAATGCCGTTATGATGATGATAATATATCTGTTCGTACAATATTAGAATAGAACGAATGCCATGAATAGAACCTCAGCTGACCGAAGTGCCGCTAACATCGGACGTCAATCCATAATAGTCGAGAGGATCCCATCCCCTTAATTTACTTTTCGAAACCGACATTTATCCGTGACTCTAGATAGTGGAGCCATCCCTATCCATCGACCTAAATCCACTATTGAAATCCAGAACGACGCCATAGAGGAGAAATAACCGCCGGTCCATGCAGAATCCCCACTTGATTTAGGCTATAAGTACTGAAAATGCCCGAGACATTCTGGCATCCGAGTCAGTAACGGCGTGGAACCGTTTCAGATTGATTAATGGGGACACTTGGATCCTAAACCACACACGGACCAACAGCCGAGTCCATGAATGAAAACGAACCACTGAAGAAGTCCGGCATTAATTCTCCGCGATGGAGTCATGCGATGCCGATGAATGAAACTGAGTCTAGGGCAGAGGCCATCCATGGTTTAATTTAGCTTGCTTCAGCTTGGCTGCGAGGGTCGACTTTGGTCTAAATGGGAATTCGTATAAGTTGTTTGGAGTCGACCTCGACATAAGCATTTCTCCTGTCAATTCTTTTCACTCCTTAAGCTGTGATCCTGGTGATCAGATTGTCCAACTCTTACCTTCTTTATTCTTTTCGTCGATCAATAATTGCTATGCGTTTCCAGCCTTTGACCACGGCGCTGGCTGTGGGTGTCTCTGCCCATCTGTTCGTTTTTCCCCTGTTATCCCTAACACAACTTTGAATCTCAAGCCGAGTACAGATATTAACGAAGAATTAAAGTGCCCAAGCAGCTGGTCTGCATGATGCCGCCGTCGCAAAGGGACTCCTCTACTTCGGTACCGCAACCGATAACCCGGAGCTCACCAACACCTCCTATGTCACCCAGCTGAACAACACGGGTGACTTTGGCCAGATCACTCCTGGAAATTCGCAGAAGGTGAGGCCTAGTCGCCTTCCTGAAGGATCTAAAGAATATGAATAGCTAATGTAATTGAATGAAACAAATAGTGGGACTCAACCGAGCCGTCTCAGAATGAATTCTCCTTCACCAAGGGCGACGTCATTGCCGATCTGGCTGACGCCAATGACCAGAAGCTGAGATGCCATAACTTGGTTTGGCACCAGCAGCTGCCTAACTGGGGTATGCTCTATTTTACGGGTGCCTCCGTGATGGTAGATATCGGGTGCTAATGAAGACAGTCTCGAGCGGGTCCTGGACCAACGAAACCCTAATTGCCGTTCTACAGAACCACATCACAAACGTTGTGAAGCACTACAAGGGACGATGCTACGCATGGGATGTAGTGAACGAGGGTAATTTTGTTATCTCCTAGCACGCCTATTTAAAGCATAGATATTGACTCGAAACAGCCCTGGCCGACGACGGCTCCTACCGCGACTCCATCTGGTACAAAACCATCGGCGAGGCCTACATTCCTATCGCCTTCGCAGCTGCCGCTGCCGCCGACCCAGACGTGAAGCTCTACTACAACGACTACAGCATCGAGTGGGGCGGTTCCAAGTCCACCGGCGCCCAGAACATCGTCAAGCTAATCCAGTCCTACGGCGGTAAGATCGACGGTGTCGGTCTTCAGGCCCACTTCACCGTCGGCCAAACCCCCGCCCGTAAGGACCTCGCCAGCAACCTGAAGGCCTTCACCGATCTCGGCGTAGAGGTCGCCTACACCGAGGTGGACGTGCGTATGAAGACCCCGGCGACAGACGCCAACCTGCAGCAGCAGAGCACCGAATTCGCCAACATCGTCGGTGCTTGTCTCGATACCGAGGGCTGTGTCGGGGTTACCATCTGGGACTGGACCGACAAGTACTCCTGGGTGCCCAGCACATTCCCGGGCTACGGTGCTGCCTGCCCCTGGGACGAGAACTTTGAAAAGAAGCCCGCGTACCAGGGCATTTTGGAGGTTTTGGGAGGTGAGGCTTCTGCTTCTACTTCTACTTCTGTCTCTGCTTCTGCCTCTGCACCTGCACCTGAGACCACTTCTGCCGTCCTCTCTACCACTACTGCTGCCGTCACCTCTTCTTCTACTACTTCTTCCAGCACTAGCACCAGCATCAGCTCCAGCTCTTCTTCCGCTATCATCTCTTGCACTGCGGCCGCTTCTTCTACTTCTTCCAGCTCTCCAAGCACTACTTTGGCCACCTCTTCCAGCACTTCCTCCGCCATTCCTTCTGCTTCTTCATCAGCTACGCCAACTGACTTCATCCCTCAGCCTAGTTCAACCGCCACCGGCCGCGTCAAAGTCTACTACCAGTGCGGCGGTATTAACTATCAGGGTAGCACCGAGTGCGAGGAGGGTCTGACCTGCAAGAAGTGGAACCCTTATTACTCGCAGTGTATTCAGGCCTAGGTTTATCTATAAATGCCATAAGAATTGGTTTGTTGGATTTACCAAGGTTTAACGGTTATTCTTACTGTAATGCTCCACACACTCTTCGATTTATATGGCTAGTATAGTCTCATAAGTACTGTATTCTGGATATATATCTGAAATAAATCTTTTACACTTATAAATAAAGGTTATATACTTTGCTATCGATAGCTATCATAGGAAATACAACCCTTCTTCCAATCAATCAATCATAATTTCATAAGAGAACAAATCCCATCCACCGCAACAGCGCTCATAGAACCAACCAACCCAGTAGCAAAACCAAAACCAAAACCCAGCCTTCCAATGAAACCAAACAAGCATAAAACCCTCCAACCAGATAGTAAACCCCCATAAAAGAAAAATCACATAAACCATAACTACACTACAAATCAAACCTCCACGAAACCCCAATCACCTATTCCTATAGAGCTGGGATTCTAACCAACTAAGTTGAACTAACGCCTTGCCAAGTCCAGCACCCTATACCAGACTCACCTATTATGTCTCCTTCCCGGAGAACGAGTGGATCTCATCTTCAGCCAAGAGGCGCTATACATCGGTCCGTTTCTCCCCAAAGATTAAGTTCAGGGTTTTCTTCACCGAGAAGCCAGCTGGCAATGTGGGATGGTCCGATGGATATACTTCGTGCAAATATAGCCTACTTGGCGGTTTATTGCATGTACTTAGCCTGTTTAAGGAGTAGGGTATGTAGGTATGTATGTAGGTAGGTAGGTAGGTTGCCTCGTGCTCGGACCTCCCCTGTTTCCCTGGGACGGAGATCTGTGCACTGCACTTCTAGATTTATAAATAGGGGGGTATATTAGGTTACGTACTTGGTAGTACCAGTACCTAAACTACCTAGCTTAAGTTATACTATATAATAGGGCCAATGGTCAATGTCACGATGCAATGTGACATACTACTAGAATAGGGTTATATGTTATGTTTTAGGTAGGCCATATGCTAGGAGACAAGATAGGCAACCTCCCCCAATGCATATGCAGCCTGAAGATTGAGATCTAGGCTTGGGAATAAATTGAATTGAGATCTTGTCGGTCTGGCCGTTGGGAGTTTACCCCCTCCTCCATCCCTTGCTTTTTACCTTTTGCTTACGTGTGTTTACTTATCTTTTGGGCTGTGGAGCGTTATTTTTGTTAAGTATAAAGAGGACCATGGAGTAGGTAAGTGAAGTGGTAAGTCTTGTCTTGTTTTTTTCAAGATTTATTTCTAATTGACGTCGTTTCTTGATTCCCAGTACATTAGATTTGTATAGTGCCCGTGTCTGTTACCCTTCCCGTTCCCGTTCCTTTTTTGTTCCTTTCTTTTTTTTTTTTTTTTTTTTTTTTTTTTTTTTTTTTTGTGTGGTCTGGGTCTGGGTCTGGGTTGGATTTGATGTTCGTGAATATGTACACCTGGGTTTCTTCCCCCCCCTCTTCTCTATTAGTGGTCTTGGGTGCTGGTCGCTGTCCGAAAGTCTATTATTATGTTTTAAGAGTTCCTGATGTTGGTGTTGTGAATGAATGCAATACCCCTGGACGCCGGTTCGCTGGAAACAGATACAAAGGAAATTGGTGGTAAAGGAGTGTGGTCATGTGTGAAGATTGAAGATTGAGGAAATTGGAGACGTTAAACGTGAGTATGTGTGGGTTATGAGTCAAGGAGAATGAGAAAGGAGAGTCGAGTCGAGGCGAGGTGGATAAGTCGGTGAGTGAGCGGGCGTATTTGAGAAGAAGTGAGAAGAAAGAGAAAATGACTCATTAATAACTGGTGAAATAGTACGGGTTCGCACACCCCATATCCGCTGGCCCCGTCATCCCCATCACAGAGAGAGGTTGCGAGTGCTGTTGATGGCCCAGGTGAGGCTCACTGTAGTACTTCAACGGATAGTGCGAGTCGATGGAGACAGTGGTTGGGGGCTCGTGCTGGAACATATTCGTGTTGAACTCCAGGGGGTATGAGCTCTCGCTTGGCCGGGTACGCTTCAACGTACTTAGGGAGGGTAGGGATGGTGGGAGACATGGGTCCCAGGTTGTGCTCACACTGCTGGCGGACTTGGTGCTCGCTATGCTGTGCTTGGTTGTGTCGCTTGTCGGGGAGCTCCCTGTGGATGGGAAGACGGAGGTGTGGGATTCCATGTCTGGGACCTCTTTGCGGTAGACTGGGTTGAGTTCGGCTTTTATGGTCGAGCCTGGTGAGCCCATGGCTTGGGCTTCGGATATGTCGGGGAGGTTGACCCGGGATACGCAGACTACAGCTTGTCCATCTGCTGGGTGTTAGTTGGTGGCCCTACTTAGAGGGGTAAGGGGTAGTACGTACCTGTCCTGCCGTCGAGGAAGGCCTCCTCTTCTTCGCGGACGTTGTATATCTCGTCCAGGACATGCAACCGCTCGCTAGGTAAGATCTGGCGGCGGATGGATTGGTCGGCTTCTCTCAGTTTATCGACGCAGATTGCGTGACTGCTGCGTAGTTCGCAGAGAATGTGTACTAGGAGTCGGATTCTCTCGGCCTTAAGCAGATGGTCAGGCTCCCGATGGGTGACGCCCGATGGCCACCAAGCAGGCTTGGTAAGCTCGGGGTCAAATTGCTGCGAGGAGCCCGAGATGATCTTGCGTCCGTTATACGGATAATTGACCTGCTTGCGGGGCTCGACAAGCTTGATATAGGCCTTGGCAAGGATACGGCAGTTGATCTGCTGCAGGCTCTCGAATGCCTTCTCGTAGTATTTACGCAGGAGACCGTGGTTGCGGATCGGCAACATGGTTTTCTGGTGACAGTTGATACTCATCGGGACCACGCACTCGTGAGATACCCGCTTTCTCTTGGCCTGGTGACCGTCCTGGTGCGTTTGAAACCTAATTCTGTCAGACGATCACTGGTTCTCAAGGAGAGTTCTGCCACATACATTGAGTTTTTGCGGCTCAAGTTACTAGTGCCGGGTGATTGGGGCGACATGGGGCTTCTGCCCCCCATATGTTCTTGGTTCAATCTCGGAGATCCTGCATGCTCTGGTCAACTTGGACGCCCTTGTAGGTCGGTAAAGAAGGCTTACCTATCACGCCGGGGTCACCCTTATTCGACAATGCCACGGCTCTTAGGAAGGAATCGGTTACGTTAGGAGACAGAATCGACTGGCAGTTGCTCGCAATAGAAGGTGATGCTTCAAACCGAAGCTTGCCATTCTCGTCGATGTATATGAGAGCAAAATGGGCCGAGGACAACGAGGAGAGTCCGTCCAGCGGCGCATCCATAGATATCGGTGTCTGGGCCTTGGTTAAGTCAGTCAATCAGGAACCTCTGAGAGAAAATGTAAGGGCAGTAGTGACAGTACCATGGTCTGTGGTTGCATTGACCTCTGTTCAAAGAAAGTTGGGGACTGGGGATCGCCTAAATGTTAAATGTTAATACACCTGTTGCCAATCAGGTTGCTCGGGAGGAGGGCAGTAGCACATACGCGCAGAAGACATCTCTATTGCCTGGGCACGAGAACCAGCATTACTTTTCTGAAAGGTGCAGAAGAGACGATGTTGTTTTGCGGGGATCCACCGACAATAAGCTTACGGGATCTTCCTGAGCTGTAACCACTCTCGCATCCTCCTTTGGTGATGCTGCGATGCGCTTTATATGCGTGGGACACGCTTCGTCGAGGGAGAGACGCCAGCACCAATCTTTGAAAAATAAAATAAGAAAATAAAATAAAAGAAAATAAAATAAAATAAAATACCAAAAACTAAAATGGAAAAAAGCAACTTTCGCAGGAGGGGTGAGAGTGTATCTACAGCGTAATGAAACCGTAGAAAATAAATTAAATCAGCCCAAAGCTGTGTCAGAGAAGGAATGTGCGTGGCCTTACTCCGTATGTGGCTCAGCATTCGATCCGCTCGCATGCATTGGGCTTTCGAACTAATGACTCTACTGCATTGTCCTACTCCCCCAATGATCGGCTGTCTGGATGGCGGAAAGTCTGGATCAATCGCGTTTGGATCATGTCTGCACTCTGCAGAATGTCATTCCATGCTAGGTTGTTCGCTTTAGATTTCAAGCCGGCTTTTTTTTTTCTTTACTACTATACTATTTTTGCTGCGCTCTCTCACGCTTTTACCCTGTTTTTGGTATCTTCTTTAAACCTGTATAGCATCATCCTGATAGTCACACGAGACAAAATCAAGATAGATTTCTTCATGATGCGGTCATGCAGTATGAGCCTTGTTTCAGCTCATCGAGCGTGGCAAACACTCGGCTGAGCTCGGCGTCTGGTCGAAAGCCACGAAAAGAATAGCTCATGGACTAGAAAAATCACCGAGACGCCTTATAGTCAATAATCTAGAGGAACATACAATTCCCACCTGCACGGTTCGTAGCGAGGCCCAGAGCCATGGTCCCTGGTCCTTGGAGATCTTTTCCGGCCGGAGGGGTCCCAGCCGGAGGGATCATGGTGGTCACGATTCCCTCCCATGTTGGCTCATCTCTGTGGTTCTTGCTGTGATCTTCCTCGATAGAACTGAATAGCGTCGCTGCGGCCGGCCCTCAAACCCCCCTTGCCTCGCGCATCGGGTGTCAGGCATATGCATTTGCGCCACTAAGATGTGGAGTCCCTGCTGACAAAATAGTAGGGTAGAAAAAGTCAAAATGATTGAAGTTAGTGTAAAAAAAAGACTCCCCGGTGCCGATCTAGATACGGCAATTTCCGTCGCAGGGTCCTGACAAAGGCGAATCGATGCAGACAAGTCAATAAGCCCCATACGTGTTCCACCAAATATCCACAGGGGGGAAAAGATGCAAGACGTATGCAAGACAATACGGATGACGTTGTGGGACGGTTTTTATTTCTTTTAGGCCTAACTGTAGACCATCCTGATGTGTATGGGTTAGCCCATCGAACGATTGTAGTCCGGATTGACCAGGAAGCCTAAGTGAGCAAATATCATTGGTATGGGAAATCAGTTGCGGGGCTAGGGTTTTTCGAGCGAGTTCCAGCTCTTTGAATGGGTATTGTTCTTTTTTTTTTTATGTTTTTTTCCTTCGTAAAATAGAATAAAATAAATAATAAAAAAAAATCCTTCGGGCTACCTTTTGGACAACTCAAGAGTCAACGCTTGGGAAAGTTTAGTGGGACTCCACATGGCAGGATGTCAAATTGTCACTATGACTCGCTTCAATGGGTAGGTAGATAGTGGGTTTTGGCGCTAACGAGAGCTCCCTCAGAGTCCCTCTTCTCTGGGGCATGATTCTGTCGCAGGAGGGGAAGTGGTCCTGCTTTCTCCTCGGTTTTTGTTACTATAATTGACCCTCTTGGTGTTCCAAGCTGTGGCAATAGCCAAATCCACTCCCCCATGGGTCCAGTTCCATCAGCTGAAGCTTTGATGTAAGACAATTGAATTGAAAATATATATATATATATAAATAAATAAATAAAAATAAAATAAAATAAAATAAAAGCAGGAAACGAAGAAGAGAAAGTATACGACGGAACCTTATTGGCCATTGGTTCTCTGACTCTGGATGGCTGAATCCTGACGCTCAAACCCCACTCGAAGAATGATGAATCACTATCGGTAGTTGACACTCTACTTCGAAGTCTCCACGCTGAAAATCGGTTGAATGAGTTAGTACGTCCCTACTGTGTTAGTACCTAAGCTTCAAAGTCGTTTCTTTGTTCTTGACTAGCGGCTTGGTGGAATTAGAGCTAGATTGGTGGTTGAGGATCTTCATGAAGTAGGTACGCGGAATTCAAAACAACCTACATAGAAGGATTAGGGTGTGGTGACAGCCTGCCCTAACTGTCCGAACTAGGCGTTCGGGACACCCAAAGCAATGGGTTGTCACGCGGTAACCATGGGGAGAGTCAAAAGAAAAAAAAATAAAATAAAACAGAACAGAACAAAAATAAGATATTTCGAGAGAGAAAAATATAAAAATAAATAAATAAAATTTTAAAAATGAAAAGAGAAAATTAATCGAATCCTATCATTTTTCTTTCAGCGGCTGTGGCGTTCTCATCTGTCTGCCATTTCCAGGCGGCTCACCTGATGTGTCAGCGATAAATGGTATAGATGTGCATCGCGGATGTAGTAACTTTGTGATCTATATGACTCGTCCCACTGGGCAATTGCGGGCCTAAAAATCTGTAGGGATTGAGCTAAGCTAGTGATTGTCGGAGCCCATCCCATTGGTACGTTATCCACTATCAAATTGGATCTAAAACGAAATAAATAGTAACTCACGCGTGAAGTGACATGCGCTGCTCAGTGGATAGATAGATAGATGATCGATGGAAGCGAAGCCGGCTTCGAGATCACCCATGGCGAGAACGAACACCCACTCGAGAATATGATCATCTTAATGACACCTTATTTGAAACTATTGTTGCATGGCGTGGATCACCGCTAGACAGGATCGCTAGTCACGTCGTTTCGAACGTACAGTATGTCTATCGTTCTGTTGTTCAGTGGACACGAGTCATCTCCTGGCTCAGTTAATCCATTCGCTAGTCTTTCAGATATCCTTTTGTAAGAAGCTCGGAAGATACGACCCGTAAGGGCTAGCAGAACTCCATACGGCACCCCAAGGAGAATATTGCATCCTACAGAAATAGCTACGATGACCGGTGACAGACCAGTGGCATCGGAACCAAGTGCCTTTCGGTCCGCACGTACCCGTTCCAGAGTTACCCTTATCTCAACCTGATGTTGTTATCCTTCATTTTGATAGGAAGCTCTTATCCAGCCCTGAACTATGTGGATAGCTATTTCAAATAGCGTTTCCCAGTACCATGGCCGCGTAGTTGGGGTCCGGGGGATCCTACGCAGCGCCACCGTCATGGATGCAGGCTTCTATGGATTTATGTTACCATGTACTTTTGACCCAGGAGTAGTTCGCTGCAGGCCAGTATCAGGAGGTTGGGAAGAGGACGGGAGACGACGTACTTACCCGACAGGGAAAGACTGTCGGGTTTAAAGTTGTTCTAGATACGTGATAGAAATTATTGTTTTGCTAGTGTGATGGAGCTAGTTCGCCATCGTAGAAAAAGTATCGAGAATTCTTTGCATTGTATTGATTATGTGGGATGGTTGGTAGAGGTGATGTATCGACTTAACCATTGATTCCAATATATGATATTGTCTGGCAGGAAGGAGGTTAAGGAACAGGTCTAGCTTGGACGGGTAGAAGGCAGCAACTATTGGATGCCTGAGGTAACTCCCGGCAGCCCTGGAGCATGACCAGTTGTTCCCAACAGTACAGAACAGGCCACGATAAGAGATACCTGATTCCTCAGGCATGATACTCATCAGCTGCCTCGTACTTTTTCCGTCACATTCCATCTTCGCTACAACCTCAACTCCTTCCCTTCTCGAACTCAAGCGTCACCATCACCTGTCATACATACTCTGTATTTCAAAAGAATCAGGTCTCCAAACAGTTTCACTACCGGCCGACGTTTCACCTTTTCCCAAACACGCCCCAAAGCTAAATCGGAACACCGATTATGGGGACTGGAATTGGTTCCTCTCCAATTGGACTCCACCGCCCAGAGAATCCACTGCATTAGTTCGTCTCTCCGCAAAGGCTGATCAGCAAATCTCTTTTCACTCGTCGACTGCTCGAGTCGATCGTGTTTCCCTCAATCAATCTCTTGTTCTCCTTTTAAATTACTACTACCGACTTTTCCCACCACGCCCCCCTTAACTTAGGACCATAGTACCACCATCGCCGCCAATCATTCCGCGTCCTCGGTCCTTTTTGCATTACAACCCTTTTTTTCTTTTTCTTTTCTTTTTTCTTGAATTTCGGCGGATCGTTCCAGAAAACCTTGTGGAATCTGTTCAACGGCGCGATTCTTTGGCATCCCTTGAATTCCCGCGAGTCAGCGACTCTCATTCACAGTTCTCATTCAACCCGTCCCATTGTCGTCCGTGCGGTGACCGACTACAAAATTAATACCTTTTTTATTATTTTTTTTATTATATATATATTTTTTTTCAATTTGTATTATTCTTGATTTTGTATTTTTCATTTTGTTGATTTTTTTTTATTTCCTGTTATTCGTTTTTTATTCGACAGACAGCCCCTGCAGTCCAACCACATTCCCACCCCCAAGGAATCATGGATCCCAACGCGACCGGTTTCCCTATGTTGCAGCAGCAACAGCAACAGCAACACTTTCCGGTTACCTCCCAGAGTCCACAGCAGTTTTCTTACTATCCGAACGCGATCGCTTCTTACCCCCAGCAAAAGGCTCCTTCCCATCTTCCACAGCAGCATTCCTTTGGTGCCATGCCGATGCAGGCAGGCGCTCCCGGTGGAGCTATGATGCCGGCGGGTTTCCCCCAACACTCTGGTACGTCGTACTTCCTCTTTCGATTTATTTTCTTTTTCTTTTTCCTTGGACTATACTTTATTGTCCTTTAAGGGTGGCTCTAGCTTGGCTTTTGTCTTCTTTATTCGGGGCTCCCATCGACCCTCTGTGCCACCCCCTTGGGCAATGCTATGGATCGTTAGTTTCAAAGATTTACCGGTATATACACGATCCATTAGTGGCACATGGAGAGCTATACTTCTGGTCTGATGGGGATCTGCCATGGAACTATCGTTCGGAGCTATGTCCTCGATTTTTGTTCTGTGCCTTGCGTCCTTTGAGCAACAACGTCGGTGACAAGCCGCTAACGGAATGTGTGATCTTCACTTTTAGCAGCACCCCACGCCAACTTCTCTGCGCCCTTTGCCCAGCCACCTGTTCCCGCGACCATGAACCAATTTATGCCCCCGCAGACTGTAGCGACCTCGACACCCGCGTCGAACGTTCCGGCAACCACGGCGCCGTCCTTTCCTCAAAATATGGCTTCAATCTCGGGGAATAACCTGGTGCCCGCGCAGCCTCAAAGGCCCGCTCCACAGCAGAACCCTCAACAGGCGTCTGCGCCCCCGGTGACTCCATCGCCCGCAACGGCCCGAGAGAAAGCACGTGTGACCGTTCTGCTCGATATCAATTCAATGTTGTTGCAAGAGGTCGTGAATCTACAGGCAGCAGGCAAGGCGGGTGGTCCTCCAGCTCAGCCGCAGGACTCGAACCCGCCGTCGGATCAGACCCCTGACACCGCAAAGGGACCAACCCAGAAGCCCAGTCAGGAATACATCGATTGTATGCGTCGTCTGCAGGCCAATCTGGCATACCTGGCAACCATCGCCGACCGCGCCAAGAAATCTGGAGGAGTGCCTCCTACAGCACCAAGTATCATGACGCCGCCCCCACACATGCCGTCTATGAACGAAATGTATAAGAAGCTCGCTGAGCTGTTCCCACGCACGGCGCCAGGCACCGCCGGAACACCTCAGGGCAACGGCAAACCCAGCCCCTCTCCAGCTACTGAGACCGTTGTCTGAGCAAAGTCAATGTTTTTGGAATGAACCGATAATTCACACGTGCGCGCAGTCCCGAGTGTCGAGAGATTGGGCGAT